TAAATACCAATCCAAAAAATGACATGGGGTGCAATTTCCCTTTATTATTTATTTATTTTTTGGTTAATGGTCCCTAGGCTCAAGTGAAAAAGAAGTTTAGTGGTATTTAATGCGAAATCTTATAACGTGAATCACTTTGTTACTTCAAATATGGGCATTGCTAAATAACGACACAAAGTATATTGTTGTTCAAAGCCTACCTTTAATGGGGGTGCATTACCTATTCCTTCGTACTCTCCTCTCCCAATGACACAGACAAATTAGGCTGCATGGCAAGCAACAACAAGCAAGTATCCACTCATAATGCTGCACTCCAAGGAAAATTGAACATTCTCTGGAAAGAATTCCCAGCATCAGCCATTCTTTATGCAGATTTTTATAATGCCCACTCGACCATGCTCAAGAATGCAAAAAAGTATGGACTCAAAGAACTGTACAAAGCTTGTTGTGGGTATGGAGGGAGAATTTAGAACTTTGATTTGTTCTACTGTTGTGGTTCTCCTTCCTCTAGTTCTTGTGCTAATCCTTCGCAGTATATTAACTGGGACGAGGCTCATCTTACCGAAGTAGTGTATGAAGTGATGGCAGATTCGTTTCTTAATGTTACAGATTGTCATCCATCATTCAAGCCTTGTTTGGTATTCATTATTTTCAAAATACATTTTTCTCTATATTATTTTCAACGACACATTCTTCAATAAAATAATATTACATGCAAACCCAAAACATTTCCTTATTTTTTAACTACACATTCTCCAATAAAATACTATTTCAAAATGCATTTTGGGCAAAAAATGGAGCTCAAACTGGGGGGGGGGGGGGGGGGGGGAGGGGGGGAATCTTGAGTGTTTAAATCAAAATGTATATGTGCTTGTACTTGATTTGCGTTGAAGATCGATCAATTTGAATGTCATTGTGGGTTTTATGAATGTATAAAACCATGTTAGTGTTAAGTTTCCATTTATTTTAATAAAATTCTTCTACATTTCTCTTCTACAAGAAGATAGTGTCTCTATCTTTGTTGCTTCCCTACCGACTTCAGTGATTGAAGCTTCAACTGCAGGCGATGCAAAACCTCATTTGCTTAGAGACTGTTCGACTCATTTAAACCTCTACATCGAATCCAACTCGCTCCTTCTCTACTTAATTTACGTGCTACTTAATAGCCACTTGACCCACACAAATCACCATGGTGGATAGTACATTTATGGATTTCGAAATCAAAGTTGAATATAGCTAACTTTCATTAGGTTCGCTATATTATCGAGCATGGCTAGATATTTTGGTGATGGGTTTGGAGAGAGAAAATGAAAAATGTCCAATATTCTTAAGTTTCATTAGGTTCACCATGACTTGAGTATTTCTAAAATACTTTTCTTCTATTGTTGTATTCTCTAATTATTTTTTGTCTCTATGATACATTAATGTATAAACCACTTGTCTCTAATTCAGTGATATACTATATACACAAATTTGAGGGACTTGAAACAACTAGTGTATTAAAGGCCAGTGCTGCCATTAGTGATATGAAAAACGATATACAAATCATCACTTTTATACGTAATATAACAACACAAACAACAATTAGGTCTTATTTTCTTCATTCTCGTTATTCTTAAAGATGCAACACAATCAAGGGCCATTTGATGGGAAGCACCAATGTAGAAGAGCTTCTCGAGAAAATTACCTTAGATCAGCTTTTTTAAAAATTTCTTAAGAGTCGGACAGAACACTTTCACAAAATATCCAAACGTGTTCAATAGCATCTTTTTAGCCTCAGAAGCGTCTTTTGCATTTTCAAAAGTATAGTCAAATGGGCCCAAAATCATTCACAAATGCAATAGACCATGTTCATTTTGATTGTCCAGACGCAATTTATACAAAGATCCATGTCTCAAGATGTGTCTAAAGCTCTAGCCCAGTAAATGTTAAGAATTAAATGAATAATCCGTATTACATAGAGCAATTAATAATGTGAAAAAAACACAAGCAAGAATAAAACACACAGTTCAAACCAGAATTGTAGTCTCCAATTCAATGTATTCCAACTACCCTGCTGAAACTTAGTAGTCAATAACAGTGTACAGCATATGAAGAAGAAGACAACAAAACGCAGAATATCATCAAGTCAAGTAATCAATAATACTACACGAGGTGGATGTAATTTTTGAGACAAAAGGACTCAGCATTTATTTGTCTTGAGTTACAAATAAAGTGATGGATATATGCACAAAATTAAGGAACTATTACAGAAACAGTCAATGAAAAGCCAAGGGGCCGTTCTCTTTATATTTAAGTTTTGTGTTCTGAGTTTTGAATTCATTTTGAATTTTGTATTTTGAGTGTCTATTTTGAAATAGTTGAAAATATGTTCTTTTTAGTATTTTAAAAACACCTAAAACGTGTTTTGAAATTTTTGATTTGATTATAACTGAAAACACTAAAAACGACAAAAAAATGTTGTTTTTGGGTTTTTTTTTTTTTTTGTAAATTTTTAACTTATTTTTAAAAACGCGTTTTCGAAAATGAGAAAGAGAACGCGTTTTCATTGTTTTGGAAAATTAAAAACAGAAAACGACTTGAAAATGGTAAAGAGAACAAACCCTAAAAGATTTTCTTTCGAGATTCAATTTCTTGTGCTGCACTACTTACAAAGTAAAATAGACAGAAATAACACTACTATAGATGAAGTCTAAAACTTATATGCAAATACGCAATCTCTGATAGCCACTGAATTTAAGATAGTAGTCCCAAGTAGACACCATGTCTTTCACATCAAAAGATAGAACAGTGATTACATGGGCACCCTTTCCTTGCAGGTCGATCTAAAGGGTGAGTTCTGTCCAATATTGCTGTAACAAGTGATATCAAAACAAGCATCCTTCGGGACATGACTCGCACGGTGAACAGATCAACCTAAGGACTACCACTAGCAGAAGACTGAGTGTTGTAGGTGCTAATTTTGAAAAGAGGAGTATAATTTAATGGCTCTAGTGAGTTTCGTCCAGTTCAAGACGAAAATTGAGTGTGGTAGACTCATGGGCTTATAATCATTTGGTTTAACCCCCACCCACCCCCCAAGTATTAGAGTGTGTTCTTCCCAATGTGATTGTAACAGTTTTTCCAATTTGATCCTCAATTGCGAGTATGCACTAATTGAGATTCAACTACGAAAGTGCAAAGGAAGTTTTGTTATGTAACAAGACGCACTATTCAAGAAAACAACCATAATAATATAACATCCTTTGCACATGTTTCTTTATCAAAGAAAGACAATCCAAAGCAAACATGAATAAATTCGCGAACATTTATTCTGAGAATCAAAGTATTTTTCTACTTACTTCACAGTAACAACATTACGAAGTCTAATGCTACGTATCCGCCCATGGATGATCTAAACTATGAGATAGTACATGCTAGTAATGAAACAAGAATTCATATTTTTCAATTATGAAAGTATAAAGGAAGTTTTACCGTCACAAAGTACACTATTCAAGAAATCGACAACCATAATATTATCATGCCCTACGCACCTGTTTCTTTTTCAATGAAAGACAATTCGAAGCAAACAGCAATATAAAATGTGAACAAGTATTCTGAGAAACAAAGTATCTTTCTTTTTACTTCACAGTAAAAACAGTAAGAGGTCAAACTATTTTTCCACCCATGACCCATCGATAATCTAAACTATCAGATAGTACACGCTGGTAATGAAACAAGAATTATATACTTTCAGTCTTGTTCCACGAATAAATGAAAGCATCCCACAAGTCCATACAGAAAGATATTCTGCGATGCAACCTTTTTATTCGGAAAATCTTGGGAAATAACATGCAATATATCAGGATGTAAGAAATGTGTTTTTACACTAGAACAGAGAGATGCAAAGACGTATATCACTTTTTCAAACTCGAGGAAAAAAAGAACTATATTAACATAAAACATTGAGAATTACAGATCATAAAAGACTCAGAACCAAGAAATAAATGTCCACCCTAAACTTTCAGGACCCTCTACATAAATACAACTACGTGCTTCACAAGGCAGCTCATTATAAGACCTACACACTTCATTACAATTATTTGACTCGAACAAAATAATCAGCTCGAAGAAACTTCATTGAATTAGCAAATCAAAACGAGTGCATACTTAGTTGCTTTGAAGCTTAGAGTTGAGGCTCAAGCCTCACCACACCTTGAGAATAGCAGTCAAGACATAACTTCAAGGCACTTAACGAAAACTCACTCACTAAGCTTCAGCTTCTTAAAACAACGTCCCAAATTATGTTGTTGCTAATTGTCATCAACTCAGTTATTCATGAAAAAGGTTTTCTAAAGTTCTTTGATATCAAAATTCATTAACTTGCTGTCCAGACAATATTAAAGCAACCAAAAGTTTTATCAGTTATTACTTTTTCGGTTTTCATGTTACCATTTACTCTAGCGGGTGGGAGTTCGACTATGCCCCACATTATCTGCCTCAACATCCCCAATTCATGGGAATTGGTAGATGCCTTGAAGGCCTGAATACACTGATGTTAAAAAGTTAGATAATCATTGCAACTTTTTAATTATCAAAGCACCATTGGAAATCAGTTAAAAATTGGACATCATCTTGGAACAAGGACTAAAGGATTTATCCACGTGCTACAAAACTATGCCATGAAACAAATTTGACTACACATACAAGCTTCCGATAAAATTCTTTGAAGGCACATTATAACTTGTGTATGATATTCCCGGTGTAACCTCAACACATTATAATTACAACCAACAAAATGATAAATGGTTAAAGATGCCAAGAATGAAAATTATTATATTGACTTTGAATTGTTTGACAATGAGAATATACATTTCTTTCCACAAATAAAATGCAGAAGCAGGCTATCTGACACCGAGAAGTAAAAGGAGAAACAAGGTTAAGGACATTAGGTCTGACCAGACTCTAATTGACAATCATTGGTCGGCATTCAGTTTCATTATACATCGTTCTCTCCAAGATCAGATCAAGTACTCATAATAAACTAAGAAAAGCGAGTCAGGAACATCTTTTGGCAAGCTGTTTATATAGAGATAGAACCTCAAAATGTCCTCTTCTGAGAGAGTTTCTTGATCAACTACATCTCTCCCGCATGTTAGAACCCATAAGTCCCCAGAACTCACTCTCTTTAGGCTACCCCGGCAGAATGGACAGGATTCCGACCTCATATTCCTGCAATAAAGGAAAAGGGTAAAGTAAACACCAAAGGGAACTCTTCAATTTTACATGTCAAGAGAGAATATTAAAGACCATATTAAGAAAGAACTTTCGTACACACCAGTCGCGGTAGCAATTGATGCACATTGCATGACAACAACTCGGCAAGACAATCTTTGTGCCAGGCTCTAAGCAAATTCCGCATTCATCTTCTCTTTCCATATCAACATCTAAATGCTTATTATCGTTTTCTAATTTCTTCCTCCCAATCATTTCAGAGTCATGACATTCATCTTGATAAATATATACATCCAATGAGCTATCATATAGGCGTTCGAGAGTTGGTAATATCACAGCTGCAAAAGTAATCACGAAAGAAAAAGAATTATCAATGGTTCACTTGATTGTTTCTAAACCAATATACGCTAATTTCTCACGTAGTAGTTTGTGTGATTTCATGCATAACTGAGAACATGCTTGCCTAAGCTTAAAAAGGGTTTACTTAAAAGAATTAAAATAAATAATTTTTTTTATTGGTTAAAGTTGTAGATAAGTTACCTATTTTGACAGTTAGTTAAGAGTTACTTTCAAGAAAATTAATTTTTTTTATGGAGTAGTATAAAAATATAAGTTGTCCAAAAATGTATGGGTATAAGAGGATACCAAGAGTAACTTCACTTTTTTTCCTTTTTTTTTTTTCCTTAAGTCAAAGTTTAGCCAAACAAGCAATTAATCTTAGCTCCATTTTTTTACTCTCTACCTGTCTGCAGTAAAGTATGCAAAGAAGTGCACAGTTGTTGATTTCAAAGCTTAGATCAATAAACTGGTAATGCCATGTGAAGTGGATATTGCCATATAGGCATATTCAAAGATGAAGTGAAAATAATTTGCATACCGTAGAATTGTCTAATAGTTGCTTTCCTTCCTTGTGAAGGAAACTTATGCCTACTGTCAACGTGCACCTGGAGTAGAGAAAATGTCAAACTAGGGCTCTACGCTTTAAAAACAGGAAATACAACAATGAATACACTCAGGAAGTAAACACATTCAAGCATAATGATATACCTTGTATACAATTATGTGGAATAGATTTAGATAAGTTGGAAATGAGCATGTGCATGAACAATCAAACCATTGCAGTAGAAACAAAAATATGGGTGCCAGGTGATTGTAGACCAATTTCATTTGAAGACAAGCACCTCCCTTGGTTCTAGAAATCGAAGCAGCCCTGAAATTGTCATTCATGGACATNCCCACCCACTCGACAAATGCCAATATTTTAACAGAATGCCATGCTTATAAAATTTCAAAACCATTGAACTGCCACAATAATCTACGGAAAATTGATTTGTATTCAATGACATTCGATTATGAATTATCATATATATCGACAATAAAATATCACATAGATACTTAAGTTTGAGAAGATCAACGACTAATTGTTTGAAAGTGTCTTTGATTTGAGAAAAATTGGAGAATATAACTGAACGAATCAACCAAAAGAAAAGGGAACCTCTAGTTTGTCTGTATGAATACACACAAAAAAATTGTCTCATGAACAACCTAAAACATGTGTGAGCACAAAGACAAATACCATTAGATGCTCGGGTAAAGTCAAACCAACATAAGGACTGTTAATTCAAGGATGTCATAGAAGAATCTTATCTTTTTGAGACTACAAAAACATCTTTCTTAACATTATCAAATTGCAAATAAAACACAAGGAATGGTCCCAAAATTAGTCTGAGTTTTTAGATATCTTCGAGAATTTGACTTCAGAGAATCAAAATAGTGTTAATGAAGCTGATTTTTTTTTTTTCACAACCACGTGGGATTATAATCACTTGCAAGGAAAGAGTTCAATGGTTATAGCCCATGAACCAAGCATTAACTTAGCAACACGAGACGCAATTAAAGTTATTATAGATTTCCGAAAGTACACCCACCCGTCAAACCTGAAATTCTATGCTTGCTCATACCAAGTAAAAAACATTAAATTCAACATTAACAGGAAATGCAATTAACGAACAACGATCACGAAACATAGAGCGCAAAATGCGCATAATACTAATGGAATACACCCACAACCACACAAACCGCAATTTTTTTCAAGCTACTATTCACCCAGCCAATGGTAAAGCAATTATATTCCATAATTAACAAGACCCACAAAAAACTGCCCGTTTGCTTTAATCATTCCATTTGTTTCTTCAATTACTAAGGAATTTCAAAATTCAACAACCCAATTTTCCAAAAAGTGAATGTACAACGGGAAAGATTAAAAAAAAAAAATTAAACAATAAAGAGAACGAAAGAGAACCCACAACATATTGGCATGTTGAATATCAGACTCGATAGCCTTGAGAGAGTCTTGACAAGAAGGAGCCTTTTCAAGCTGATTGTATTTCATTATCATAATATTTCAAAGACACGATTTTCCTTACTGGGTTTTTGTCTCTCTCCCCTAAGAACAGAAAGATTATCAGAAAAATAGAAAGCAGGATTCAAAATCAAACAGTCTTATTTAGCTCAATTTTTGAAAAGCTCTACATAAAGAATACAATAAATATAGGAGTGTGCCATAAGTTCAGCAGGAAGTCGTTGGGGGGTATACGGGGAGGTGGCGGTCTATGCAAGAAGAAGAGAGAGGAAATTCCAGCAGGGGTCCCAATCTTTTGTTAGGTTTTTACTCATATCCTCAACTTATTATTTATTACACTTATATGCTTAACTCTTGTTTGATCTCCATAATTTTTAAAAAACATTTTTTCTTTTATTTTTAACCACATATTTTTCAATAAAATAATATTATACGCAAATTCAAAACTTTCCTTTATGTTTTAGTTACGCATTCTCCATCAAATTACTATTACAAAATACATTTTTGTAAAAAACGAGGCTCAAATAGGCTCTTAACCTTTAGAGTAATTGCTCTCATGTATTTAAATATTAAGTGATCATCACGTGACATCTATGTGATGCCGAAGTGAAAAAGGTGAAACCGTTAAAAAAAATTCTTTATTCTAAAATAATTCAACTAATAGCTTTAGCTCTCATTTAGAAATTCAAATAGGGTATTTCTAATATCCATTCAATTCAATCCATCCCAATATCACAAGAGAATTTAACGTTTAAATAAATATTTTTGTTAGTTGCATACATGGACACACAATTTTAAAAGATTGAGGACAGGGATTCAACAAATGGTGGGTTAGGAAAATAAGTGCCACACTTACGAAAGGTGAAGGACCCTAGTGAAAATTACCCTATAATTTTTTATTATTTTTTGAGCGAGTAAATTAATTGCTGCACAAGAAATTAATTTATTATTTTCTATTTTTATGCATAGAGAGCAATTGCGTAGGTTTTGGAATTTATTGTTTTGGATTAATGAGTATTTAGTTTTTTTTTTTCGTATTTAAATATCTGGTTAAAGCAAATAAATTCTCTTTCTTCTTTCAAATTTTTATTTGAAATTTTTGCCATTCATTGTCGCAAAACCTAATTTTATTGTTATTTCCATTCCGAGTTTATGGAATCTGTTGATTTATGTAATCATAGGATTCGTCTAAAAATTATAATAACACTTTTAATGAATCAACTATTTAAATTATGCAATGGTCACCAGTTCGAGTGCCCTCAAGGCCATTGAGATGAGTATCCGACCGTAAACTTTAGGGTTTCGTGAGATTAGTTAAGGTGCGCGCAAGCTGACCAAAACATTAAAAAAAAAACTATTTAAATTATGTAATAAGCTATTAATTTGGGATTAAATTGTTTCTAACAAAAAATAAACGAGAATTGAACTTGAATACTTTATCGTATGGATACAATTTTTTGAACGGTCTATATAAATATTTAAATCAATATTTATTAGTGTTGCAATTATGAAATAACAAATCACCAAACACCTAACAAAGCACAACTGCATTCAAAATTGACCAATTGAATTAAATGTGAGTCAAAATTTGATGGTCAAAGGTTATTTTTTCAAACTTGTGGAAATTCATCAAAACTTGTAAGAGAGCCTTTGAATGGGCATGAACTGGTCACCAGCCCAAGCTACCTTAATAAACCTAACAATACTTTTGATGAAGTCAACAAATGCATGGAAATTGGAGAAATTCTTAGGGTGCGTTTGATTCTCATTATTGTAGAATGAGAATGAAAAATATCGTTATTGGGCCCCACACAAGAGATAAAAATTCAAAATTGATGGCTTGATGTGATGGATAAGTGTCATATTTTTCATTTTTATGGATAAAAATGAGAAACAAATGGAGGCTAAAAAAGGAAAAAATATTTTCAAGTGACATTTTATTGTTTTTGACACAAGTAGATTTCAATCAATGCTTTGCATATCAAACCGACATAGCATTTACCACATTTTATATCAATTTATAATTTCAGCAACTAAAAAGGAAACCAAAACGAAGACATAGTCAATTCAACTTAAGAAGTCATGAACTGGCCGAAAAATCGATTCTATATTGGGGTAAAAGCGTATTATAAGAAACTCGAATGAGACTCGATGGATTGAATAGATTATGAGTTTGTTGGATTCCCAAATTTAGACGGAAAAACTCAATAAATGGTGTGATGTGATGTGAACAACAACTATTATTGGAAAAATTGTACACAAGAACTGAGCAATTAGCTTGCCCGAAGTTTGTCTTTGACATTTGGAATCACACCAATTGGTTCATCCAAGAAGTAATTATGTAAACTTTCCTAACTTGCGACAGCTTACCCAAATTTTGCTTACGTGGGTTTTGCATGAAGTTATCTAAGTAGAAAGCTGCAGGATTTAAGGGCGCGTTTGATTGCAAGGGTGGAAAATTGGTGAAAAGAAAATATTTTACAGGGAAAAGATTTGTCCAGAAAATGTTTTGCAGAGAAAATGACTTCAAATGTCTTTGATTGGTATAATTTTCCACCCGAAAATTTTTTAAATTTTCTATACGTTTGGCTTTGTTTTACATGAAAATTGTTCATTAAAATGATACTTTTTTTCATACTTAGCTATAAAATTTGTTTACATTGCCAAAAAGTTAAAAAAAAAAAAAAGAACAANGTTATGAAATTTGTTTCCATTGCCAAAAAAGTAAAAAAAAAAAAAAAATGTTTCCTAAAAAATCTTTTTTTTATCAAAATTTTGTATTCGTTTGGCCTTCGTTTGCATCAAGATTGTCCATGAAAGTGAAATTTTTTTTGCACTTGGTTATGAAATTTGTTTATATTGCTAAAAAAAAAATGACAGACAGATCCCAAAAATTAAAAGGTAGGAAAACCCTTTCCTTTCACGCCTAGAAGTAGGCGCGTGAATGGAAAATAAAATTGGTAAATTCCATGGCAAAAAGTACCCATCAAACAACACATTTAGGTGGAAAAGGAAAATATATTCCATTTTCCATGGAAAAGGAGTGTTATCAAACACACCCTAAATGGTGAAATTTTAGCATGTTGTTCGTGGACAAGTTTTGTGTTTACAGTATAAATTTCATAATTTTTCACGATCATTTGATTTATTAAAAAATCTACGAGAAGTTAGAGCGCAAACTAGAAAGCTGAAAAGCACATTAAGTTTAGCCTCTGTTTGGCAGAGATTAAAATAAGATTTTTAACAGATTTTGAAAAAATTCAATGAAGTGTGTGGTTGAAAATTTGTGGGTCTCATAAAATATGTAATTAAAATTAATTATTAACTTTGATTTTGATAAAAATCTAAGATAATAATTTCTATCAACCAGGGACTAAATCTATTTTTCACTTCCATGTTTTATTTTCCAGTTACATGTATTGTTCCTTACCTAAAAAGTATGGTTTAATTATCCTTTTATTTAAGAAATGAATAAGATAATGTTTCGGACTGTGTATCTCGAGACGTTACAAAGACAATTGGTGCTTGCTTGAAAGGTGTGGAGGTTGTAGACAACTTGTTTTGCTTTTTTACTACATATCAAAACAAAGTCGTGGAAATATAGATATTTGTTGGAAGAGATACAGTAAATTAACGAAAATATTATTTTGTATCTAGCTGCAAAATTAGGCTCTTTGTGCTGAGATCTCTTATTCAAAAGCTTATTCTTGGAGGAGAGCGGAGAGGAGGGTCTCTAACTAAATGGCAGAACAGTTCAAGGACATCGCGTCTACTGTCAGCTAGTAAAGTAAATATGCTTTTACAAGGGAAGGGTCAAAGGGTAATACCTACGTATCCTATGTAGGTTTCAACCGTTGAACTATATCACCTAGTCGTCTTATGTCACATTCATGTGTCGCTCCCAATTTTCATTCATGCGAGGATTGTTGGAAAAAAACTGGATAAGTGGCTGACTTTGGCACTAATTTTGAGCGGGACCCGCTTGACTATTTTGAAAGATGAAAGTTGATTTGTGTTCTCCTCCGTGAGTATATCGAAATCATATACTTACTTGTCAAAAATGATACTCGGGTGAATGAGAAATTGAAACTCAAAGTATGCCATGTGAAAGGAGTTTGTTGGTGGGAATATAAATTTTTTAAGCTTTGTCCCATATAGGAAGTGGATGAAAGTTAAAACCACTTTATAAAGGATTGCACTTTAGAATGGTGTAATCATGTGTACCATAGAGGCTCTCTCCACGTGCGCGCGGGGGGTGCAAATCTTGGACCGAAATTGGCGTCGGACCTTGAACTTGTGTGCGAGCGCTACCTGCGTACACGAATGTCGGACCGAAAGGAGCAAAATTGGCCCCTTAGGAGTGTCCACGTTTTGCTACATTTTTTAATTTTTTCAATAGACTTTTGGTTTTCCAAAACTGTTGAAACTCCAAAACTCCTGTTGTAATTGCTATGAAATGAATGAGCAGCTTATAAGATCCTAAGCCTATATATATCTCGTTTTTTCCAGTCTTCAGTACACGAAAAATTCATCTGCATATTCATCTGGTCACAGTTGGAGTCTGCTCTCGTTTTTACTTTCTGTTTTTTTGTCTTGTTTGGTGATATTGTTCGGGCACTGGTTCAGTTCGCCGGAGTACAATCTGTGGTGCTCAGATTATACTGTTTCGCCGTTGTATCCTGGGAAACGGACGCTCTGTTAAACCTCAAGTACAGACGGTGAGGGAGTGAATCTGTTTTAAGGAAACTGTGTGGAACACAAGCCTCGGGTTAAAAGTTTGCTGTCATTTAACTTCTACAATTATTTATTAGTCACTCGTTTATGCAAATTTGTTTTTGTAGTTCTGCTTAAATCAATTTTTAAACTTTACTGCAATTTAACATAAATTGTCGAATCTTCTACTATATTAAATCTGTTATGTATATTTGAAGCCTTAGTATTCCAAGTTATTGAATCTGCTACTGCAAATCCGGTATCCAATATTGAAACAATTTTCCTACAACTCTAAATTAAGAAAAAGAGATTAAACA